TAAATAATTACAACTTTATTTATAGAGCACCTTTCAAAACAGGTTACAAAGTGCCACACAGATGACAAATAAAAACACGAAGACAAAACATCAAAGACAAAAGCAAATTAATACAATATGATTAAAAATCAAAGACAGACAATTATGTAATACAAAATCTAACGACAAATATAATACATCATCATTTAAAAGTAATAGCAAAACAAATAACTAAATTCAAGCCGTGGCGTAAAAGTATGTTTTAAGGGGTGATTTCTCAGGTCAACTAATCCAGAGGGTTGGGCCCTTGGGCACCATGTTGTAGCATCAGCCTTTCCCCAATACCAAGCCCACCTCATCTAACAAATCCCTTAAACTCCTCTTAAATCATCCTAAGAATCATCCTCTGCCAGGAGCCTTAAAAATCCTTCTCCGGTTAGCAATTAGGAGATTTTTTGAAATAGGTGTCAGTTTAACGAACTTGATCTTATCTTCAGTTGTTTCACCGAAGTATGTTTATAATTAAAGCAAATCATTAAGATTGAATTATGATGGATGTTTTTGGCTGTTAAAGTGATAGAAGGAAGAGAAGGTCCCCTCGCCCCCAGCCTCCCTCGCTCAACTGCCATCTTTTCATTCCCACTCACGTTTTGCTCCATGTAAGTAAATGGCAGCCAGTCAGGCTGAGCTCAGTATGATCCCTGCCAGCAGCCTTCCAGGACCCAGGTGCCAAATAAAACATTTAACTGCTGCTCCGGTCCCTGTAGCAGACAAAAAGACATCTGGAGGTTAAAGTTAGGTAACTGAGAAGATGATGGAATCCTTTTCTCTGTTGCTTCAATAATTCCAGGCTGAATATCTGCGTCTCTCTCTCTCGCTACGTCTGTCTTTCAATCTCTGACTCCCTCTTGCTCCGTCTCTTTATGAAGATGTTTATTCTAGGATTTGCTTATTTTAATGCCGTGCCAAAAGGAGCGAGATTTAAAGACCATGTTGTTGTGTGGCAATGCGGCACATCAATAAGATACAATTCAATACCATACAATACCATATGACATGATAGGACAGACTGAGTAAATCCCAAAGGAAATCCTCGGGCCAGCTTGCTTCAGAATTACAATACACAATAGATTACAGTAGAATAAATCAATAG